TTAGCTCAGTGGTGTCGCACCTGCCTGGTAAGCACAAGGTCCTGAGTTCAATTTCTGGTACCCCACCAAAAAGGGCCGGGGATTTAGCTCAGTGGTTCCACCACCTGCCTTGCAAGAGGAGGGACCAGAGTTTGACCCTTCTTACAAAAAACAAAACAAAACAAAACAGCAAAAAAATAAGCCAGGCGTGGTGGCACCTGCCTGTAATCCGAGCACTCAGGAAGGTTGAGGCAGGAGGATTGCTGTGAGTTCAAGACCAGCCTGGGCTACATAGTGAGTTCCAGGTCAGTCTCAACTACATAGTGAGACCCTGTCTCAAAAAGAAAAAAGAAAAAAGAGCTGGGGACATTGCTCAGTATGAAGGCCCTGAATTCAACCCCAGTAATGCCATTAAAGAGAAAAACTCTCAGGGCCAGGGATACAGCTCTGGGGCACCATGCCTGCCAGGCAAGCATAAGGTCCTGAGTTTGATTCCCAGTACCTTAAAAAAATAAAAAAAGAAAACTCTCATAAGTCCTTGTTGCTGTATTGATCCAAAGCTATCTCACCTGGAATTGGTTTCAGTTTCTTCTGTTTCTAATCCAATTCAAAAAGTTACCCCTTTCCCTTGTTTACTTTAGTTTCTTGGTAAGTTATCTCCTTAAGCCTTTAAGCTATCTGTGAGTTTGTTGCGGGTGGATATATATCGCCACATGAGTCAGTAAAGAGAGGACTAGTGTGGCCCTTGTGGGCAGATGACAGTCTGAGATTCCATAGAGAACCACAGTACAAGGAAGACAGAAGGAAGGGGATACGTGGAGATGAAATTAGGGCAGGCCATCCCATCCCCTTGACATTCTTTCTGATGATATCTGCCTGGACACCTCTGTGGCCTCGCTCATCAATGACCACTTGGGATTTCCTCCATCACCCTCTGTGACGTGCTGCACCTTGGTTCTCCTGCCACTGACCCCTCTTCCTTCTGGGTGGACGGATCTTCTTCTACCTTCTTCCTTAGAGAAGTTTTGCAAGCACCTTCCTTGGTCTTCACACCTTCCTTTCTCTCTTTACTGTCACGCTGCTGGGTTCACAGGTCACTTCTGTGCAGGTAACTCCCCTGCTGTCCCTTGGAGGCCACCATCTCTGCTGAACTTGAGCTGTTTATATTGCACACCAGATGTTTCCATTTGGGTATCCTGTCATCATCTCAAACTAAGCATGTGTAAAATCGAGCCTGTTTCCCCCTCCCAGTTTCTAGTTTTTCTTCTCGTGCATAGCACCAGCATTCTCTTATCCATCCACACTCAAAACTTGTCATTTCTGATGCTTCCTCCCCATTCTTTCCTTCCCAGACACGAGTCATGACAGCTTCCTTTTCACCATCTCACTGTTCCTTATCCTTCTCATTGTATCTTCTAAGCCAGGGTCTCAGCACCCCATGTTTTAGACATTTAATAGTTTCTCACATCACCTTCCTGCCTGCAGTTTTTACCCCAGTCTCTTTCATGCCCAGCCAGCCAGATTTTCCAGGATCATTTATCTTGTCTCTCTTGCCCTAACACATTCTCACAACCATGGGCAATGATCTAAGCTTGTTGGGCTCAGGCCCAAGAGCCTCTTTTTTGGCTCTAACCAGCCTCACTGGCAATATGTAATCCCAACTACTCAGGAGACTGAGGCAGGAGGATCTCAAGTTGGAGGCCAACTAGGCAAATGGGCGAGATCCTGTCTCAAGAAAAAAGAGGGGTTGAGTATGTAGCTCAGCAGCAGAGCACCCTTTTGTTCTCTCCCCAGTACCACTCACCCAAACACACACACACACACAAAAGAGCACAGGCTCTGGAGCCAGACTCTGTGATCAAACCCCATATGTTGTGTAACTGTGCAATACTGGATTTCTCTCTACCTGAGATTCATTCCTTTCCTTCCACCTTCCATCCCTCCCTGTGGATGTTCCTGGGGCTTTCCTTCCTGAGCCCTTACAGCTCATGTCTCTGGCGCTCCTAGGTTGCCTGGGGGCAGCACTTGTATTACAAGGGTTTGTAACTCTCCCCATATGTAGGCCTTATCTCAGCAACTCCATCCTAAGCATCTGGAGCACAGGTGTGGGGTGACTGAGTGGCAGTGAATTCCCGCCCTAGTGTATTTACTGATTGAGCAAGGCATTTTTCCTCTCACCCTCAGTTTCCCTTATCTGTAAAACACAGCTAATGCTCACCTGATGACATTGTTCTGAGAACTCAGTAAATAATGTTGCCCCCAATGTTCAGCACAACAGATGATACTTAGGGCCAAGCTCTCAGTAAACATCTGCTCCTCAAATATTCCCATCCTCCAAAATTCCCATCCCTGTCCCTACCCCGCCTGCTCTGCCACCTTCCTGTCACTGCGGGTGCACCCTCCCTTGTGCCCTAGTTCCTGGTCCTCCCGACCTTCACTCCTGCAACTGCTGCCCTGTGTTCTGCAGCACTGCGTCCCCTCCCTGTTGGACACTCTCTTCATTGTGTGACTTAGGCTGCAGTATCACTCCATCTAAAATAAAAGACACAACGAAACCTCCCTTAACTTCATACCTTTCTAGTTACCACTCCAATTTTCTGTACAGTAAAAAGTCCCTGAATGAGTTGGCATATTCCCTGTTTCCACTTCTACTGCCAGTCCAGGTAAACTGTTAGCCCATCCCTACACAAAATAGCTCTTGTCAAGGCCTCCAGTGACCTCTGCATGCCTGAATCCAGAAGATCATTTTCAAGCCTCTTGGGAAGCTCTGAGACCTGAAACCCTCTGCCCCGGCCTGCCAGCCCCTCACTCCTCTGCTCTTCCTCTATCCTCACTGGCTGCTCCTGTCTCCTTTGGTACATGCCTTCTCCTTAGCCTGAGAGGAGGAGGCCTCAGGATGTCCTTAGATCACTTCTTGTTTCTACATTCAATCAAGCAATCTCCTGTACTCTTGTGGCTTTAAATGCCATCTAAAAAATATCCAAGGTTAGATCTCAAATCTAGACCTCTCCAAAATGCTATACTTACATTTCCTCAACCTTCACCCCAGGGTCTTTTCGCAGATGCTTCAAATCCCACAGGTCCAACACCAAACTCTTGCTCACCACCCCGACCTCCCCTTCCTACAGTCCCTCCACCTTACTAATGGAACTGTGCTCTTCCAGTCGCTCGAGCCAAAACCTGTGGAATTATCCTTGGCTCCTGTCTTTTTTGGGGGGTATCGGGGATTGAACTCTGGTCCTTGCGCTTGCAAGGCAGGCCACCGAACCGCTGAGCTAAATCCCCAGCCCATGGCTCCTGTCTTTTAAATACCACAAGTTCTTGTTAGGCAGTCCTCCCTTCAAAATACAGAGAGAATCGGCCACCTCTCACCAGCTTCCTCCCTCCACTCTGGTGCATATCATTGTCACCTGTCAGTAGGCTGATTCAATGGCCTTGTGAGCTGCTTGGCTACCTGTCTTCCCCCAAATCCACAGTCTCTTCACCCACAGCTGCAGTCATGTTTTCACAACATACGTTCAATGATGTCATTGTTTAAAGCCCTCCAGTGTCTTCCTCTCTCACTCAGAATAAAATCCAGATTTCTTATCATGCCCTGCAAGACCTTATGGCATAACCCATAAACAATTAATAAAATTACTGATATGGTTGGATATAGATCTAAAAAGAAAAAAAAGAAAAAGAAAAGCCTGCTATCTGTGTGTCCTCATTCCCCAGTGACTCTCCCCTTGCTCCCTTGGCCCAGCTGCACTGGCCTCTACACTGTTGTGTAAACAGGATGGAAATGCTCCTGCAACTAGGACTTTCTACTTGTTCTTTCTGTCTAGTACACACAGGTGTAAGCCTTACCCCTCACTTTGGTCTCTACTCAAATCCCCACCTCAGCAGAGTGCCCAATAGCATCTCTGGCATTCTCTGCTTCCCGGTGGCCCGTAGCCCTAATTTTCCCACTACCACCTGCCATAATTAAGTTCCGTGTTTGTTTTGTCTATCCCCTCACCATCAGTAACACCCTACACAGACCTTTGGTGCCTGGCAAGCATGTGCTGGGCAGGGGCATGATGTCAACTGGAAGAGCCTGAGAGGTATGGTTCCTGCTGTCTGTACTGCCACTTACCTGCTATGTGCTTTTGGATAACTCTACTTAACCTCTCTGCACTTTAATTTCCCTTTCTGTAAAATCTACCAGAAGATTTTTTTTTTTTTTTGAGACAGGGTATTGCTTTGTAGTTCAGTCTGGCCTTGAATTCACTATGTAACCCAGGCTGGCCTTGAACTCCAGGCCCTCCCCTTGCCTCAGCTTCCCAAGTGCTGGGATTATAGGCATGTACCACCATTCCTAGCTAACCTGAAGATTTTTTAAAGATTACACACTTAATTATCTGCTCAGTCAGAGGGCAGATAACAAGGCATTCAGCCCCTCTCTAGGCTGTTTGCAAGGAGTAAATGTGTAGGGCTGTCTCCATCCTGGGATGGACAGCTGAAACAGTGCATGAAAGTAATGCCACATAAAGGGTGACTCAGTCATTATCCATATTGTGTCCTGACCCGGAGCCCCCTAAGCATTGTTCCTGCCAATAGCTTGTTCCCTTCCAAAGGCCCTCAGATGATGACCTTATCATGACTTTATTGGAGCAGGTCCTGAAAGTTGAGACTCCTGCTTTGCTTTTGATGGAATTACCCCTTGTCATGGGAAGCAGATGTGTTTTCTGGGCATGCGTAGGTCTATCTGGACCTTATGAGCCATGGCCCCATGGAGTCTTCTCTGCCAAAGCACCCATGTTTGTGAGATGGCCAACACTGGCCAAACTAGGTGGCCAGCAGGTCAGGTAGGCTTTTCCAGCTGGGTAAGTAAAGGTTCCTACAGTGGTTTTCCTGTGTGCCACCAGAGGGCACTAGAGATTGCTCAGCTCTGGGGAGAACTCTGTTAAGGGTGTTGTTGGCTGTCCTGCCTAGCTTGCTGGGGACTAACTACTAGCTAAAGCAGGGCCATGTCAAGGGAATGGAGATCAGAATTCCAGGCTCAATGCTCTTTATTGTAAGCAGTAGTGAACCCCTTGCCCTGTGAGCTCAGCCAGTCCTGCCCTCAGATTGCCAGTCTACAGTGAGAAGTGCATCTTTACCTCCTGATTCATTTGGCATAAGGCTTTGCTTGCTTTGCCACACCATAGGTCATGGCCAGGTCCTTGTTCCCAGTGACCACTGTCCATCTTGGAGATCCACAGTCTGTCAGAAGGGGCTGTAGGAGCCTGCTGGTTTAATGGAGGTACTGAGACCTCCAGACTCAGCTGCCAAATATTCTTCCACAGTAGAACTGAGCTGAGCAACAGCGACTGACTCTTACTTCTTTCCTAAAGCTCTTGGTGGCGAGCAGGAGTGTCCAGGGGAGGATGGCCTAGGTGGTACCTCAAAGGGGATAGAGATGCCAGAGGCTTTGGAAGATGGGGTGGGAAGGAGGGAACACCAGAGAAAAAGTCAGTTAAGTTCCTTGATGGCATTTCACCAGCCCCAGTTCTTAGCTGTTGCCTATAGTCTTGGCAAACCCCTCCTTACTAAATAGTCCTTTGGGCCCTAGATGCATCCTTCCCCTGCCAGTAAATCAGAGTTAAGAGTTAACATGGCTTCCTGAACCAGACACCTTGGAGAAGCTTCTTGCCTGCTCAGGAGGACCCCCACACCTGCATTTATTTCTCCCTCAGGTCAGGGGAGCCCTCACCCAGGCCAACAGGGTGGCAAGTGCCTAGAGAAGGCCCTGGCTTCCCAGAAAACCATCCCGGCCTGTCCTGACCTGTACTGGAAACGAGGGTCTCCGGGGTGGCTCTTCAGCACCTGGCACACCTCTGCGGGTGGCTCCAAGCCCATCTGCTCTGCTCTATGCCAGCGCTGTAGCCGTGTGATCCCTACCAGAGTGGGAAGGAAACTCAGGGACTTCATAGAGGGTTGAGAAGAGTCCAGGCTAAAGAATGGGGGAGGGTGTCTCAAGAGCCTCCTTAGCCCCCAAACTCAGTGGCAGTACCTGAGTCAGGCAGATATTGGTTCATGTTCCAAACATGTGGGTGACAAGACTGGCTCAGGGATATGCCTGGTAGGTGGGGTGGATTCTCACCTGTGCAGGGCCCGTACTCCCAGGCCAGGTCAAATTGCCTCAGCAGCTCCAGCTCGGCTTGCTCCTTGCTGGGGATCTGAGGCTCTTCCCCTGCAATGATACGCTGCTCCTCAGGCCTGCCCAGGCCTTTGCCCTGCCCCTGGCCTCACACTTGTGTCACTGTTCCTGGCTCTTTCCCCACCCCTTTGCCTCTGTCATCCCGCTGCCCGACCTTAGACCTTGGCTAGGAAGTAGAGTATATGCTGGCTTCCCCTTCTATCTGTCCCCCACCCACTATGAGGTCCCTGCGTGTCCAGTCCCTCCTCCATCCCCATGCTTCAGAGACCTAGTTCTGGTGCCAGTTCCCCCTTGCTGTGCCCAGCGGGTCCCTCCCTCCTCTTCACAACAGGGTAGGAGTCAGTGATGAGCCGCTTCCGGACCATGGCGGCCACCCAGGCAGGCGAAGGAGGCGACTTCGGGGAAGAAACAGGCCAGCGGGCGTGCGAGAGACAGCTGCTGAGAGAGAGAGAGAGAGAGAGAGAGAGAGATTGGGCCAGAGAGAAAGATGGGCCAGCGACGGGCAGACAAGATGACCCAGACAAGTAAAGAGAGGAAGTCTCCCGGTTCCAGAGAATGACGCTTGTCCCCCGCCCCCACAAGCACACAAACATCAAGACCTAAACCAATGGCAGGCCACCTCTGTGGGGTAGGGCCCTGATTCTAGCCAATGGCAGGGGGCACAGGGCTGAGGGGCGGGGCAGCAGCCGCAGCTGTGTTCTGGGGGAGGAGGGGTTAGGCCAGGGCGGGGGACCTGTCAAGATGCCCCAGACTTCACCACCTCCTCTTGCCCCCCATTGGTCTACATAGGTCCCGTGGGACTTGCAGAGCGTTATCCTCAGCCTCTCACTTCCCGTTTTCCCTTGCTAGGCAAATGTTCTTTTCAACCTCGCTAATCCCCATGGCCGGTTTGTAACTCCCCTGAGCCCAGCTGGAACCTTCCACTCTTGAGTCTTTGGCTTGGGAGCGCTGTGGGGGTAGATCTGGAGGTCCAAAGAGAGTTTGGCCTAATCCAGCCCGCTTCCCTGCTCTCACCCCACCCTCACCGACTCCAGGAGACCTGGCTGGAGAAGCCTATGCGTTCCGAAAGTTCCTTTCTCACAGTCTGCGCCTGGAGACACTGCCCACTCCTAGTCCAGGCAGGCCATTGCCTTGGCCGCCCTCCTACAGCCTGCCCCTGCCCGCCAGACTACTCAGGAAGATTCCATACCAAGGAGGAGGCCAGAGGAGGGGTCTAGTCCCCCATCACAATGTGATTGGATCTGCTGTTCTTCACTGGCCATATCTCTTCTGTGCTTATGAGCATAAAAGAAAATCAATACACTTAACCCTCATAGTGTTTTAGCATGTGCCAAGTACTGTTCTAAGCATTTTCACACATATTAGTTCAAAACAGATATCAAGGGCTGGGGATTTAGTTTAGTGATTCCGCCGCCTGCCTCCCAAGCACAAGGGCAGCAGTTCGATCCCCAGTATTAAAAAATATATATATCATAAAGTTTTATGAAAGTAGGAAGGATAGGCTGATATTATTGGTAACAGGCTTTGTGGGGCCCCCATGAAACCACAAACCCTCCTTGTGCCTGGAGCTCACAGGTTGCAGGGAGAGGGGCTGTGCAGTTTTCAACGTGAAGCTGTAATTTCTAAAAGAAAGAAAGGGTGGGTCAGAGCTCTGTGAGGCCGCAAGATGATTAGCATCAAAGGACTTTTGGAAGAGGTGGGCTGCTGTAAACAATATGTCTCATTTCTCCACCCATGACCTTTGTCTCTTGGGCTCTTGTCATTGCTGACTCACCCCTACTCTCACCTCCCCCTCACCAACTTCCTGGCAGCAGGAGAAAGTGCTGGCCACTGGGAGTCTGGGAACCAGCACTGGGACCAGCCCAGCACTAATCACCCTCTAGAAATCCCATCCGCTTCTTCCTTCCGGGGGTACGAGGTCCAATGCCTGTTCAGAGGCCTCTGCCTTCCTGCTTCTCTGCAGGTCTGGGATCTGGGAATAGAGGAGAATACTCTGGAGAGACCACCAGAGGGGAAGAGCAACTTTGTCTTGGGGGCCCTTTTCCTGTCTAGCTCTCACCACCAGCTTCCTCAAGGAGGGAAGGCTAAGAATCTGTGGCTACACAACACAGAGCTGGAGGGTTCCTCCCTTCCTTGTTGTTTTGGCTTGGCCAGGTCTAATCCCATCTGCCCCACATCTAGGAAGAAAGGTCTCCGCGGAGTTAGGGAGGACAGTAAGGAGGCCCCCTCCACCAGTCTGGGAAGGAGGTCTAGTCAGGCACTGAGCGCTTGGTGGAGGTATGGCACCCAGCCTGTGTGACAGCTTCTTCCCTGGAGAGCCTCTGCAAGGGGCTCCTGAGCTGTTCTCACAAGTGTGTGGCCCCCACCCACCTGAGTCCATAAAACCCCGAGGGAACTGGGAGCCTTGGGTGGGGCAGACCCCTCCTCATTCCTGGTTCCTCCTACCCTTGAAAGCTGATAGCCGTGGGCCTGCCACCACCCAGGGAGCGTGAAATGGGGTGTGCCTCTGGGCAGCCACAGCAGCTCCCTCTGTTGCCTAGGCCTACTCCTTCTCTCCTGTGGCAGCCACTGGCACCCTGACCAGTCTCTGTCTTTGCCTGCTTCCCCCAGCCTTGCCTGGTTCAGGTCTGGCTAACCTCTCACTGAGCCTAGAAGATGTCTCCTGTGGGCTTTATCTCCTCACCCCAGGCCTTAGAAAGAGAGCCAGAGTGGTTAACACAAGTTCAAGAGCTCTAGGACTGGCCTTCTGATCTGGGGTTGAAGGAACTCTCTCCAGCCAGCATGCCCTCCTCTCTCAGTCAGATGGCAGCAGGACTGAGTCTCAGTAGAATCCCTGGCATACAGTGAATTTGGAACCATACCTGACCTGCTGGCATCCTTCCTCACTCAGCATCTGGGAACCTAGATCCCTAAGGTGTGCCAGGAATTGGACTGGTCCTCAGCCTGCCCAGCCTCAGGTCTTTTCCTCCTTTACTCTCCAACCCCTTCCCCTCTGATAGTCTTCCTGTCTAGAACCCCTTCTCCTGTTTAGGTGGCTTCCTGGGCCCATCCCAAATTGCTATCCTGGCCTGTCACAGTTCAGCCCTTGTTCTAGAGGCCAGGCCAGGCTCTGAGTGGGGAGCCAAGTTTTCTCCTTTGGGGAGTGCCCAGATGCCCAGTCATAGGTTCTTTGTGTCAGCCTTGACACCACAGACTGGTAAAAGGACCCTCAAGAGCGACCTTTGCATTCTGGGGACACCCAGTGTTCTTGCTTCAAGGCCAAGATGACAGTCCAGAGGAGCCCAGGAATGAAAAGAAGTGAAAGAGAAGCCCAGTGCCTTCTTGAGAGCTGAGGCCCACTGCTGACTGCTCTAGGGAAAGAGCGATTAGGCCTGGTTTAGCTCAGGCTTCGTTCAGATGATATAGCTGGGGGTGGGGTGAGGTGGCGCTCAGCGCTTGCATATGCCCTAAGATCCCTTTTCCCTCCCCTAGCTCATCATGGGTCTTGTAAGGACAGCCAGGTACAGCTGGGAAAGTGGGAGTAGGTGAAGGAGGGGAGCAGCTGCCTGGAGCCCAGCAAGCCATGGGGCATGTGTCCAGCTTTCTTTCCCTCTCTCCAGCATCCCCCTTCCTCAGGCCCTCAGGTGCTGCCATTCCCCCCTGAGCTGGAAATCAGGCTAGCTCGGGGGATTCTGGGCAGCCAGATGAGCACCCCGGAAACCCCACCTACACACACACCCCGGGGCCCATCCCTTGTCCTGTGGACCAGATTCAGGAGTGCCTCTTGGTCCCTCACTACCCTCCCAATAACCCCTTTTCTTCCTGATCCAGGTTCTCTGGCTTAGTGGGCTTAAAGGGCAGGAGCTGGGGTAGGGGAAAGGCTCTCCTTGGTCTCTGGTGTCTCTTCTTCCTTGCCCCTATCATCTTCCACACCTTTTCAGGTCACCTCTCCTTTTACCTAGGCCATCCTAGTCCTGGATAAATTCTGGGTAGATTTGAAAGGGGGCCTTCAGGCCATTCCTCACCTTGGCCACCAGGTGTCACACTTTGTCCAGCTGGGAAGAAGGTCCTAGCTAACACCCCCTCCCCCCAATCAGCCAGGCCTTGGAAGTTAGGACAAATCCGGATGGGGTATAGAGGTGATTCCTAAACTAATGAGACCTAGGCCAAGAAACCTGGAACCTGAGAGTCTGAAGAGACTGGGACCCTGACTTGAGAGTGTTCTCACAGGCCCCACCACCTACTGACAAGAGCTTTGTTTCCTGCTGGGAAATTCAGTACCAGGCTGAGTCAGGGAGCTCAAGAATTTAGAAGGGACAAAGGCAGCGACAGTTGTGGCTCCAGAGAAGAAGGGGGAGCTGAGAGGAAGCTGCCCATCTGCCAATCGGATCACCCAGCCAGGCCTTAGTCACTGGCCCTTGCGTTTTAGACTGAAGAGAACGGGGCTCCATGTGCTTTCCCCATTTGGGGGAACTGGGGCTGGGCTGTGGTGAAAGTGTGATGAGTGGTGGTATGTGCTTGAATGAGCCCTCACGTCCTAAATCTGCATTAAGGTCTGATGACTGCCACCTCCCACCATACCCTCTTCTGTACCCACTCCCTGTCCTCCTGGCAGTTGCCTCCTCTCCCAACTGACAGTTCTCCCCCTTGTGTTTGTTTTCTCAAACTCAAGTATACTTCCAAGCACCAAACTGACAAAGAGGTTTCTTTCTTTCTTTTTTTTTGTACTGGGGTTCGAACTCGGATCCTTGTGCTTGCGAGGCAGGTGGCAGAACCACTGAATCCCCAACCAGAGATTTCTAATCTATACATTTTCTGCAGGTGACAGGAAGGAGGGCCTTCTCTTCCTCTGTCCTCCTACCTAGCCTTGGGAGAGGGGTCATAAGAGTTCTATAAATAGTGGCCCCACACACACACTGCAGAGCCCTGGGTATGTTGGCTTCTGGATACCTGGACTCCTGACACTAAGGCCACACTTAAGAGGTAAAACCTATATAGCCCGCGAGAACTCATCACATCTCCTGAGGCAGCTGTACCTAGAGAAGCAATGACAAGTGCACAGGAAACACTAATAATCTATCATTTAGCAAGGACTGTCCAGTGGTACCAGCAAATGAACACCCTGTGGGACACAGTGCCAATACTCAAAGGAGGGATCCCTATCCTTGTCACTGTGATTAGAAGTGATTTTGGGGAGAGCTCAAGAATTCAAGCTCTAGTTGGGCAGAGTGCTGCATTTCTGTGATCCCAAGGAGGCTGGGAGGCCGAGTCAAGAGGATCAAAATATCATGGCCAGGGGCCTGGGATTTAGCTCGGTGGTTCCTTACAAGTTTGCAAGTGCAAGGTCCCGAGTTCGACGCCCAGTACCAAAAAAAAAATAAATAAATAAAAATAAAGGCCAATCTGGTCAATTTAGCAAGCTTCTGTCACAAAACAAAAAGGGCAGCCAGGTGTAGTGGCGCACACCTGTAGTTCTAGCACTCAGGAGGCTGAGGCAGGAGGATTGCTGTGAATCTGAGGCCAACCTGGGCCTCAAATAGTAATAGTAAGTTAAAGGCCAGCTTGAACATAGCGAGACTCTGTCTCAAAAAATCAAAACCAGGGCCAGGGATGTGGCTCAGTGGTGCAGCACCTGCCTGGCAAGCACAAGGCCCTGAGTTTGACACCTGTAGTTCTAGCACTCAGGAGGCTGAGGCAGGAGGATTGCTGTGAATCTGAGGCCAACCTGGGCCTCAAATAGTAATAGTAAGTTAAAGGCCAGCTTGAACATAGCGAGACTCTGTCTCAAAAAATCAAAACCAGGGCCAGGGATGTGGCTCAGTGGTGCAGCACCTGCCTGGCAAGCACAAGGCCCTGAGTTTGATTCTTGGTACAAAAAAAAAAAAGAGAGAGAGAGAAAGAAAAAGAGCTGGATGTAGCTTGGGCAGCCAGGTGTAGTGGCGCACACCTGTAGTTCTAGCACTCAGGAGGCTGAGGCAGGAGGATTGCTGTGAATCTGAGGCCAACCTGGGCCTCAAATAGTAATAGTAAGTTAAAGGCCAGCTTGAACATAGCGAGACTCTGTCTCAAAAAATCAAAACCAGGGCCAGGGATGTGGCTCAGTGGTGCAGCACCTGCCTGGCAAGCACAAGGCCCTGAGTTTGATTCTTGGTAAAAAAAAAAAAAAGAGAGAGAGAGAAAGAAAAAGAGCTGGGGATGTAGCTCAGTGGTACACTAAGCCACACTCTACCCCAAGCAATAGTGAACTCTGGCACTCCCCACATCAGTTCCCTCCTTGTTTTCCTCCACTGCCCACCCTGCCTACACTTTGTAACTCAGTGGCTCACTCAACAGTCTCTAGCACCGTTGAGTCCCTCGATCCTCTGCCATTCCTGCCTCACCTTCCTCAGCTATAGGAAATGCCCTTTTCACTCTGTTCCTGCCCCTGGCTACCTCTTAGTAGAAAATGTCACAGTTCATACTAAATGGGCTCCTGATAAAGATATATCTGCTGACATCCCCCTGGATCTCCCTTGTGGCTGCTCAGCAAGCCTTTGGCTTTTCCTCTGGTTGTCTATTTAGTCCACTCTCCAAACCTCTCCTTTCTTCTCTAGCCACCACCTCCTCATTCCACAATAACATGTTTAGATCTCTTCTCTTTAAAAACAACCACCACAAAACAAACAAAATATTTTCCTCCATCCTTTCCCTTTGCCACCAAACTTAGAGGGAATGTATTTACTCCTACTTTCTTTCACACCATATCCTTTGTCTCAGTTTGGTGTCTGCTCTCACCTACTTTCAAAGGTTGTCTGTGACTTCCTAACCACCAAAGCCTGTAGTTTTATCTCTACATTCTTCTCTCTGTTCCCCTAGGGCATCTGAGACTGTACCCAGCTGCCTCCTTTAGACTTTTCTCTCAACTTCTGAAACACTCTTGTCTTGAACACTCATTAAATCAGTTTAAATCAAATTAGCAAGAATGTTACTGTGCCAAGTATCGTGCTAAAATGCAATCAGGATGAAAAAATGAGCAATTCTGGATCTTGCCCTGAAGACACTATGCATGAAAAGGAAGCAAGCAGGCTTAACCAACCTCCATCCTGCCTCCTCGTCTCCACCTGTCCAGATTCTGCCTGTCCTCCTAGGCTGGTGTTAAATCCCACCTGGTGCATTTGTGCAAAAGGTGACCAAAGAGCACATGCCGCATGCCAGGGACTGGAAATAGAGCTATGGCCCTGGGTAGCACTTCCTCCCCTAGGACTGCCAGTGTAGAATCTTCATCCTACTAGATGTTTTGCCTTGTATCCTAGCATTTGGAGGAGGTATTGTTTTTCATTTTGTTTCTTGAGATAGGGTCTTGCTATACAGTTCATGCTGATCTTGAACACACTGTGTAACCCAGGCTGGTCTCAAGCTTGCAGTGATCCCTCCTGCCTCAGCTCCCCCAAGTGCTGGGATTCCAGGCATGGACCATCAAACCTAGCCAGTACTGGACCTAACTCAGGCCTCAAGCAAGCAAGTCCCCCTACCCTGTGCTTTATTGAAACTGGATTTCCCTAAGTTCCCCAGGTCAGTCTTCAACTTTTGTTCCTTATGCCTCAGCCTCCAGAGTAACTGGGATTAAAGGCATGTGCCACCATGCCCAGCTCATGTTCCCTTTTCTAGATTGTTTTGTTCCACACACTAATGGAACACCTTTATTTTATTTATTTATTTATTTTTGGCTTTTTGAGACAGTCTTGCTATATAGTTCAGCCTAAGTCTCACTATATAGTTCAGGCCGGTCTTGAACTCACTGTGTAGCCTAGGCTGGCCTCAAACTCATGGCAATCCTCCTGCCCCAGCCTCCCAAGTGCTGGGATTACAGGTATGTGCCACTATGCCTGGCCTGGAATACCTTTAAGCTGGCACCATAGCTAGGTACTGGGATGGAGAGAAAAGGAAGAGTCAGAGTCTGCCCCCGAGAAGTCCGGCCCAGGTAGTATAGTAATGTCTAAACTCCATGAGGGCAGGACCCCACCATCCTTATTCCTGTTTCCTTATAGCCACTCACTTAGTGTTTTGCACAGAGCAAGCCATGATGCATTTTCTCTGTGCCTGGAGACAGCTGAGAGACTTTCTCCTTTCTATCTTGTTAGGCTGGGAGCAGAGCTTGCAGGTGTCCCTGGTAATGCCCAGGCAGATGTCTCAGCCTGTAAAGGTGGTGCATGTTTCACTTGGGCCAGGTGACATGGGGACATTCCACACACTGGCTGGACCACAACCTGGTCCAATAGCACTTGTACGTACGCTCTGATTGTCTTGGCACTTTTTGAGCATCTCCTGCTCTACACTGCATACTTTTGAATCTTACTATTTCAGGAAAGCTGTTCTTAAGTAATTCCAAGTTCCATGAAGGCAGGAGCCAAGTTAGGTCTCTGACTTCTTTTGGCTTTCATATATCAGTTAGTAGTGATGGGCATGTAATTAAGTCTTTAATAAAATTTGTCAACTGACATTACTATCATTTGTTATTTCCTTGCTTAAGGCCGTATTTCTAGGAGGCCCTTATAAAATATCCATCTGTTGCCTGGGAGCAATTAACCCATTAATTTAACCAGTGGCATGACATAGGGACATAGCCCCAGTAATCTGTAATTACAACTGCTGTTACTACTCCCAACTATCTTAACCTTTACTGTTTCTGTTACCTTTTCCAACAATCTTATTAGAATATTTATCCCTCTTTTACAGATGGAGAAATGGGAGATTAGAAAGCTTTAATTTGGCTAAGGTTATGCAGCTAGCAGGCTATGGAACTGGAGTTGAGCTTAGGTCATTTCTCAAATAGCATCTATCACATTCTCTTGCAGTCCAACAGGAGTTGTTCTCTTTCTCCTACATATGCTGTCCTAAGGTAGAGAAGTAAGGCCAAAAACAAAAGAACAAGTGCCCAGAGAGAGCCATTTGGGATGACGGAGACATGATAGAGTTTGTAGCAGGAGTGGACAGGATCTAGGTTACACAGTGCCCCAGGCTGGAGAGAGGAGAGCTGTTTCTTCAAGCTCTGTGTGCCACCAACTCCACTGGGGTGAGAGGCTGTGGGAGCTAAGAGCTGGCAGGATCAGGAGCACAGCCATGTGTCCCAGGCGGGCCAGGCAAGTAAAAGAAACTAAATTCTGGGGCAAGCATTTTATTTGTTAATACAAGAATAGAAATTCTGCAATAAATATCATCTAATAAATAACATCTCCAAATAAATAAATATTAATACAACAAACTTAAGAGTCATGAGTGGGTGGGGCTGGGGGAGCAGGGCCTGGGAGGGCCGCCCCCCCCACACCTCACAATGCTACTGCAATGTAAACTTTCAGGAAACCCGTGGCTGTAGCTGTGGCTGCCTTCCCCAGCCCGGGCAACCACAGATACCCTGGGAAAGGTGGCTGAGAGGAGGCACCTTGATGCTGGCAAGAAAATTCAAGGCAAGGTCCTGATATTCGATGTGGCTTTTTTTGCCACCCTGTGCCACCGACTGCCTTGGTGACAGCTGGGTCTTGTCTGTCCCTGTCCCTGTCAATATACCATCTTCTGGTTTCTAGGTCACCTCCAGTGCAGGCCACCCCTTCCATTTTTCATCCTGTCTCTTCTTGTTTAGACTCATCGCCGTGTTTGTTTCCTGAACTGGACATATTGGGGTAGGAGGGCAACACCCATCCAAGGAGGCAAGGGCAGCCAAGGGGCTTCGCCTCAGAAAGGCACATGCTATGGTGGCCCCTGCCGTTGCCTTTCATGTGTGCTTCTGGAAGTGTTGCAGGAGGGCTGAGTGGGCACTGGAAGTGATGGGCAGGAAGGAGATGAGAGCCATTCCACTCCTTTGAGTGTTATCTCTGTGAAAACAGGACAGTGCCTGTACACCTCTTCTCCAGACCCACAGGACTCTGGGAGCTGGGCAGGAGATGAAGCTTATCACACCACACCGGTGTCCAAGGCCAGGGAGGGACAGGGCTCCCACTTCTGTCTCCTGGCTCAACAAGTGTTGGAATACAGGTTTCTCCCCTCAACCTCCCAGAGTGGAGCAGGACTTGAAGGGGGAAAAGAGGATATAGTAAAGGTCAGAGATCAGAAGCCATGGGCCTCCAGGTGTAGGGTGACTGCAGCTGCTGGAGGCTGCATTTTCTTCTTAAGCCTGTTGAAGTCCTTGGCTGAGCGCCACAGCCAGGTCTGCAGCTCCTTCAGCAGCCAGAAGTCATCCATCTTCTGGAGGAAGTCGCTGTGGGCAGGGCCAGGGGCCCAGGTGGGTTCGGTCCCTGGCAGAGGCTGGGGCAGCGGGTAGCCCAGAGCTGCCATGACTCCCGCGATGCTTCCCAGCAGGCCTTGGAGGCTGGTGCAGAAGTGGGCCAGGCTGCGGCGCAGCTCCGCTGTGGCAGCCTGACGGTTGAGGCCACGCAAATAACACAAGAGGTGGCTATAGGCCTCATAGTTCTGAGTCAGCCGCAGTTTGTCATTGAGGCTTCGCCACACTTCCAAGTTGACCGTGGCCCTGGGCAGAGTCTCTGCCCCCAGCCGAGGTGGATTGAAGTCAGGCTCATTGAAAGGAGGCCCCAGGTAGTTCAGCTGTGAAAAGGAGAGGGCGATGGGGAAGGAGGAGGGCAGAACAGCCAGCGCCCTGCTGGGAGGATACCTGTCCCCAAAGCTTCTATTTTACATGTCCCCTGACACTGGCCCTATTTCCACACTAGGCCTCTCTGTTTGTGGGCCTCCCCTAAGTTTTTCCAACAAGGATGCCATTTGCATGGAGGCGACAGTTGAAGCAATGAGGGTGATGAGCTTTCCTATGGAGAAGTGCAGAAAGAGAAAACCACGCAGGAGCCACTGAGGAAGGACGTGCTGACTGGCTGAGTGGGCAAGCCTTGGGCGAATGCCCACCACAGGGCAGAGAGAAGAAGAAGAGTCACGAGGAGCCAGGAGGCCAGGCTGGAGAGGTAGAAGGTGGCCCAGGAGAGTGCAGAGGCCAAGAAGAGGAGCTCAAGAAGGCAGCAGTGCTCCACAGTGAGGCTGCAAAACAGCAAGGAGAAGGAGCCTTAGAAAATGCTGTCGGGTTTGGTGAGGAGATGCCGGACGACCTGGGAGAGAACCATTGCGGTGGCCTGGAAGCCAGATTGCAGGGGGTTAAGGAGTGAGTGGGTGGAGAGGAAGTGGAGGCAGAGGGGTGTAGACCACTCCTTTGAGAAATTTGGCAGGGGAAGCCAGGAGAGAAAAAGGGTCGGGAATTAGAGGGGGAAGCAGAGTCAAGCAAAGGTTTTCTGCACGGGGAAACTGGAGAAGAAAGTCAGTATAACAGGCAGAGGGGCCATTGGCATTAGAGCTCTTCTTTGACGAGTCTGGTCCTTCTGGCTAAAGGGACAGGAAACAGAAGGGCACTCACTAGCACCCCAGGGTGGGATCAGCGCTATGAGCAAGACTGCAGAAGGAACTGAGGCAGGCTCATGAGGGGGCAGGACAACTAGGAGTATGGAAGACAGTATAGTATAGGGAAAAGGGCAAGGCCCTTGCCAACCCTCAGGGGAATGGCCTGGGGCCCAGGGAAGGGATGTGGGAGATGTGTAACTGGGATGGAAAGAGAAGAGGGGCGAGGCTTGGGATAGGCAAGGGCCCAGGGGGAGGTTCACACGCTGACAAGCACAGAGACAAACTAATTTCCTCGGTGTATCCTGGGGCTGGAGCCAGCTCCCCCGCCACCCTCCTCCCTTTTCCTTCCCTGGCTCCAGAGAAGGGTCTGGGATGTGGAAGAGGAACACGGGAAGAGGGGGCTGGTTCCCCATGGTCCTCGGTTCCTCTGACCCTTCTTCCTTACCTCTTGGGCTCCCTGAACACCGCTAGACCACCCTCAAATCTTTCTGGCATAACCACCTTCCACATCCTGAACCCCCTGACACAATTGGTCTGGGTTCTCTGCAGCCCCTTCCCCCATGACCCCCCTAAGAGGCCTGGCTAGGATGGGAGAGGCAGACGGAGAGGCCCATGGGTCCAAAGCAGCAGGGCCCCAGGTCTGGGGGCAGAGGCGAGCTGGAACACAAGCATGGGAGGTGGGGCCCCTCCATCCCCACCCAGCCCCGCCCGTGCAAGAGACACCACAACACGGTGTAAACAGAGGAGACTTCCCCAGCCCCCAGGGGGAGGCGGGCGGCTGGGCTGGCAGCCAGTGGGGCAATGGGCCAAGGCGGGTGCGAGGCCTGCCCACATGCCTAGTCCTGGGGCCAGGGATGGGGAGGGGGGGGCACCTAAGAGGGAAGGGCAGGAGATGGGCGAGACAGGGAGACTGCCTGGAGCAAAGGGCCCCTCCTCATCACCCCATCGTCACCAGGACCCTTCCACCATCTGCTCTCTTCCCCCAACTCCTCTGCTCACTCTGCCCAGTTCCCCGATTCCTAAACTGGATACTCACGTAAGTCCCAGCCAAGCTTCGGAGTTGATGCTCCAGGTATCGGGTGAGGTCATAAGTTTTCTGGATGGAGGGGCCAGGCCCTGGGTCCCCTGTGCGATTGAGAGCTGGCACTGTGGGGAGGTGCCAGAGCACCGTGCACAGGCAAGCTAACATCCCCCACGAGTCCCCTGTGGACAGGATGGGCAAGAAAGCATGAGGGTGGGATCAGACCCAGGTGGGAAAGTGGTAGGCAGCCCCTCAGGTGTCTGTCCCCATTCTGGGCTGGGGGGAGGGTAGGGTGAGATATCAGATGGGAGGCAGAATGGATGGAGGAGAAAAAATGCTCCACGGCCAGGGTGTAGGTGGGTAGGAGAGAATGTGTGTTTGTGTGGACAAGGACTTGTCATTTGTATATTTATCAGATTTTTGTTTTTGTTTTTGTTAACAGGGTCTCACTATGTAGTGGAAACTGACCTAGAACTCACTATGTAGCCCAGGATGGTCTCGAACTCACAGCGATCCTCCTGCCTCAGCCTCCCGAGTGGGGATTACAGTCTGACCTAGAACTCACTATGTAGCCCAGGATGGTCTCGAACTCACAGCGATCCTCCTGCCTCAGCCTCCCGAGTGCTGGGATTACAGGCATGCACCACCACCGCCTGGCTATCAGATATATAAGAATATATCTAGGGTGAGGCAGAAGGATCACAGGGAGTTCAAGGCCCATCCTGAACTATAAAGCAACACCCTGTCTCAAAAAACAAAAGCAAAGAGTGTATCTGTCAGCTGAGTCTTCAGCATGTGTGTCATGGTGTGCTATGCAGAGGGCAGGCCAGGCTTAGGGACTACGGGTCAGTATTCTGGGTCCCTGGTACACCCTAGCTCTTCTCCTGGTTCCTGGCCCCCTTGCAGCCAGATGGGAGCAGAGGTGAGAAACAGCACAGGTCAGTGTCAGCAAGCTGAACAGCCAGTCCTGTATGAGGCATGAGAAAGCAAAGGTAGGGCTAGATAGCCAAGGTCAGGCTGAAGGACACAAAAGGGGCTGGCTTATGGAGTCATATAGGTATTCTACGATATGGTTCCTGGGTTTACATTCGACTTTCTAACAAAGTAGCATTCCTTCTTTTTGGTACTGGGGATCAAACTCAGACCTTGCACTTGTAAGGCAGGCAGCAGCACCACTGAGCTAAATCCCTGGTGATATGGTTCCTGGGTGTGGAAAGTATTGTGAGACAAAGTGAGACTGAAGAGTTAGTTTGCTCCTCAGGGTCTAACAGTGTGGAGATCTGCACACCAGGCTCTGGGGTGATGGAGGGGGACACAGAAGGGAGAGATATGCAGCTGATGAGTTGGGCTTGTCAGCTGAAAACACTGAAAGATTAAGACATTCCAGAACACCCAGAGGCCAGGAGTCCATGCTGTCAGAGCGGCCATAGGTGAAGTCCAAGGTCAGGATTCAATGTGCATTTGGGATAGGACAGGGTAGGGATATAATTGAGTTGGGCTAGGAGGCTTAAGGACTAGGCTACTTTTAACATTTCAGATTAGTTTAGACTTGGGATTCGGTTGATTGAGTGTGGTTGAGGTTTGAGTCCAGCAGGGGATGTGGTTAGGTTTGAGCAGGCAGATGGTTAGCTGGGATTAAGGTTTGTGAATTTGTTGATTTAGATGTTAGATGGGGTGATACTTGGCATGTCATAAAGAGTAGGGCTAGTTTGGGTTTTAAGCTTGGATAGGTATGAGGTCAAGTGGTTTGTTTCCTCTAGTTTTTATTTTGTACTTTCAGATTTTTCTACAGTGACATGTTTTGATAGAAATAAATTGAACAGGTTTAATAATTTGACTATACTTACAGTCAGGGTAGGATTTGGAGTTGTCTCTGGGGCTTTAGAGAGAGTTACTATCTTAGACTTAGGGGGCAGGTGGGTTTGTTTTGTTTTGTTTTTTGAGACAGGGTCTCACTATGTAGTTGAGACTGACCTGGAAATCACTACGTATGTCAGGCTGGTCTCGAACTTACAGTGATCCTCCTGCCTCAGCCTCCCGGGTGCCAGGCCAAGGTGGGTTTTTTTGCAGTGGCTCAGCTAGTCAGTGTAGACTCTTCTCAAGTGCTTGACTGCCTGTATTTCCTGACGGAGTGTGGGAGTGAGGATGCCAGTGGCTCAGGGGCCCTGCTCTTTTGGGTGAAGGGCTCATGGTTTGAGGGTGTGTGTGTGTGTGTGTGTGTGTGTGTGTGTGGGTGTGT